TCGCCAGTCCCTGTGCTATCAGGCGTTCCACAAGGGTCAGTCCTTGGGCCTTTACTTTTTTCAATTTTTATAAACGAAATCACTGCTAACATTCCTGTGCGAGCACGTTTATTCGCGGACGATGTTGTTATCTTCACTGAGGTAAATGGTGTTAGTGACCAGACATTACTTAACAGCTGCTTATCCAAGATCCACGATTGGTGTGACTCGTGGCAGATGTCACTAAATGTTAACAAATGTGTTCGCATGCATATAACCCGCAAAACTAGTTTTCTTTTTTATAATTATTCCATTAACAATACTGTCCTAGCCGAAGTGACTTCCTATAAATACCTCGGTGTAATCATTTCAAACGACCTGCGTTGGAACACCCATGTCAAATATATTGTTCGCAAGGCATTAACTAAACTCTGGTTTCTCCGGCGAAATTTAAAGCAAACCTCATCGGATGTAAAATTAACAGCCTATAAAACGTTTGTTCTGCCTATATTAGAGTATGCGTCCGTTGTCTGGGACCCGTTTACTAAAACCAACATAAATTTACTTGAATCCATACAGAGAAAAGGCTTGCGTTTCATATACAACAAATTTCAGAGACAATACCCGGTTTCCGAACTATATGTGTGTTCCAGCCTTAGCCCATTAACCCATAGACGCATGTTTCAAAGATTAAAATTTTTGCTCGACCTACTGAACAACCGATTTAATATTGACACCTCTACATATATTTCCCCTGCTCTTCATAATTACCCCACGCGAAATTTTCATTGTAGATCATTACAAGAATACAGCTGTAGGGTCGATGTATTTAAGTTCTCATTTTTCCCAAGGACCATTCATGATTGGAATGCCCTACCCAGTCACATAATAAATGCTTCATCTGAGTCATCACTCATTGCTAACCTTCGCAGTTTCTGTAACTCCTGCGATTGACGGTATTTCTTGTAGGTTGTTTTGTTGTTGTTTTTGTTTTGCTTTAATTTTTTATTCAATACTGTATAAGGATGACATTGATTGCCTTATTAGCATGTGCTAAAATGACTAGAAATGTATGCCTTATACAACATTATGTACCCCCTCCTACCACATCTCCCGAAGGAGATAGTAGTATCAATAAATAAATAAAAATAAATAAATAAATAAATAAGAGTAATGTCCCATTCACGCTACCAGCGTAAAGGTACTTTGAACATAAATACCTTTGCGATCGACGAATGAGCCCGCGCTCTTAGATTGCGGTCTCATGTCACGCCTCATCTGCCGCCCGATTTCACTCCCACCATAAAAGACCCTAAAGGGACCTTTATAAACGTGTAAATGGGGTACAAGTCGAGAAACAAGGTCGGTGCACTTTGTACACAGGGTTGAACCGTTAGTCTATTTTGCAACGACGAAGACAATGCAAACGGAGATAGGCGTACCTCGAACTCTTCATCATCTCGCTGCTGTATTTCTTTCCAATATTGATAACGGAGAGCCCCAGGATGAAAACCTAACCTCATAAATTGTGTCAATCTCTACTAACGTCTGTTAGCGTGCGTTATTTTTTACTGGCGTTTTCTTGTCTTTACCAATTTCTACTGTAATCAAGTATAAAAAAATATACGTTCCTCTTTTAAGAAAACTCGAGTCCCAAGGGAGAGGTAGAGCATTAGTTTATTTTAAGTAGAATGCTAGTTTAAAATAGAAATCAAAGACCGCGTGCTTTAACATCGGCTACATGGCTGTTACTGGAATCTGTCCTGCCGTGATTGACACTGTGTCCCGTTTTACCATGTCCCATCACAACGTATCTCACCATTTTCTTGAAATAATTCGTTATGAGAGATGCATTTTCGTCAGCGAGAATTACACCACTCAATGTTTCCTGCATTAAAGCAATCCTTCTGTTCTCCAGTCGTTCCTGTAGGCATGTCTTGTGGCATTTATTATAAAAAATGGTGTTGTTTGTATCTGTTACAGCCTGAGTCTGCCTCAACGGGCGACTTGTCTCTCAGCTGTAGACGAGCAATTCAACCAGTGCAGTATAACCGTTAGCCCGGAGTCTTAACGTGCTTCACGCAGTTGTGATTCACGACCGCACGGCGGTATGATGCCCATCAAGATCGACACGGGAATGGGTGGGGACTGAAACATATAGTATGGATAATTTAGTGGTCTAATACACGTTTGCAAGCGCAATCATCATCAGTACCGACTTAGCCTCGAACCGCGCGATGGGCGCGCCGAATGGAGGCCTACTCTCAAACTAGGACGATCGCTCCACTCTCACGATTATCGTTAGCGAGAGGTGGCACAGGCTACCGCCTGTTACAAAGAGTACAACGGTACAGTTACTATTTATCCATCCACCGAGCATCGTCTCAAACGAGAGAGTTCCTGCTCTGTGGCGTTGCTCAGAAGTTGTCGAGGTCTTTTTCGTCGTTCTTTTGTCTGGTGGTCTTGTGTCTCTGTTTTCGCGTTCTTCCGGTTCTGCGCTCTTCCCGCTTGTGCTCTTTTCAAGGCACTTCGTGTAGACTGCACGATGGATAACCCAACTAGGTCGTCGGGAGTACACTGCGCTGTTTTCGGATGTTCAAACAATCATCGAAAGAGAAAAAATCAAAGACAGCAGTTGTGCGCTGTCCACCAACAAACGTCATGTAATTGCGGGGTGGTGAAGTTCCACCGCTTCCCCAAGGATCCGGTATTGAAAGGAAGGTGGCTCTCGGCGCTGAACCGCAAGGATTTCACGCCCACAGAACATACTCGGGTCAGTAGAACATGTCTTTATCGTGGAACGTAACTTTATCGCTGTCGTTACCTGTTGCGTAACATTCATGCCCGATTCCAGGTATGTTCGGCCCATTTCGTGGCTGGAGAGAAGACGGACGAAAATATCGTCCCGCAGCTCTCTCTCGGGTATGCGCGTAAGGTAAATGTGACCCTAATCACACTAGTGTCTCAGTTCTGATACACACAGTACGCCCAAAACGCTTATGCTCTCTGACAGGTTGTCGTTGGGAGGCGCCGTTTGGTGCGTGATGCCAGTTGCGAACCACTGACCACAAAGGTAAGCGCTGACATGATTGAATACTGGTTCTTGGCTTTCGTCTGTGATCTGAACAAACATACTATTATAATTTTCGTTACAGAGGAAGAAACTGTCTTCTGGAGTTGGATGTGGAATTGTGAGTTGATCCTTAGAACACACAGGGGCGGATGCAGGAATTTCCTGAGGGGGGAGGTCAGGTGTTGGTCAGCGTACCATATGTTTAGGAACCCCCTCCCCCTCTCCTTCGTTTTACGCCCTAAATTTTACACACACAGAAATCAAGAGGGGGGTCAGGACATCCGGACCCCCCCTCTAAATCTGCCCCTGAGAACACACATGTATTGCCTCCAGTGCCACAGGGGTAATGCAGGACACGATTTCTCTTTAGTTTCAGAGCTCGAACTTCGCATGCCTAAAATTCGACGTCCAGCACTATTTTGTGGCATTGAGTGTGAAAAGCTGTTGCACTCCTTTCAGAGCAGCGACTCTACTGCCGAACACATGATCGCTCTGGCATCAACATCAGCGCTAGCTGCTCCTGAACACTCGGTAGGTTTATTGCACAACCTAATTAATGCAAGCTGCAGCATGGTCTGTTTATTAGGATAAACATGTCTGGCATGGTAACATATTATTGGGCATAAAACATTGTTGCATTTGTTTCAGAGCACCAGCTACACACAAGTAGTTGAGCGCGTCATCGCCTAGGCCTCCACATCAGAGCCAGCTACTGAACACACGGTACATTTAATACATACCTGAATTGATGTGAGCAGCAGCATAATCGGCTTAATATAATAAACATATATTGCATCCTAGCTTATTTTAGTGGCTATAAAAAGTAGGGGTGTGCGAGTATTCAAATATAAATTGAATAATTCCCTTATTCTAATCGTACTCGATTGGAGAATTGCCTGCTCAGAAGTTCCCGATTATTCAGCTGCGGCCAAATATTCGGACAAACCGCGAATATTGGGTCAAGTAGAAAATAATCTGTACCCTGCACATGCCCTGAAAAATCTGAAGTATATAAGAATATGTTTATTTGCTGAAAGCTATGTATCCGTTTTCGTTGAACGTAAAAAAAAACTTCACAAAATCTGCCTCATGAGACCAGAGTAGTTTCGATTTCTTTTTCACTTTGTTTTGCCAATCAATTTGCATGACTCAATTGTAAGTTACATCTGATATGTATTATCTATACTTGTTTCACCTCAAGAGCCGTCGTAAAAAAAGTCAGACTCCTTGCGGAGCATTACTAATTTCCTTCTTTATGTGGATAATTAAGATACATGTAAGTGAATTTTAGATTAGATCTATGTTATCTTATCAAGACACACACCTTCCAAACACCAAAAGCATTGCTGTTTCCTCCGACAAGCAAATGTCATAAGAACTACTTTGCACCGCATGTGAACAATGCGCAAAACCTGCTTTTTTCTTGAGGTGAAAACGGGTATAGTCATATTCTGGTATATTTTTAAATGTCATCTATCTATGGCCCCAGTATCAGTTGTATCCTTCATACTCTAAGGTCATACCAGTCTATTTCTGAGACCATATTTTCAGTTGCATCTTTGTTATGCTGTTTAGTTATGGACTGATGGACTGTTTTATTGTTTTATTTACTCCTTTTATGTGGGTAATCACTGGTCAAGTTGCAATGACTATTTAGAAGATTTTTTTACATGCTGCTTAGACAGATCGTTTTATTTACTTCCTAATATAAAAGGTCATCACTGGGCCAAAATATAATAAAAACAAAATTATTCGCATGTTCGTCTTTTTTTTTTTTCATTTTTCCACACTGCTCACATATTCAATAATCAGTATAATATTCGGCGGTGCTTTCCCTTGATATTCGATTCGAATTCGAGATTATCAATATTTGCACACCCCGAATAAAAAGCTGTTGCATTCCTTTCAGAGCACCGACTCCACTGCCGAGCACAAGATTGCTTTGGCATCAACATCAGGGCCAGCTGCTCCTGAACACTCGGCAAGTTTATTACACAATCTAACTAATGCAAGCTGCAGCATGATCTGCTTAGTAGGATAAACATATCTGGCATGGTAACTTACATTATTGGTAGGGTTCTGTGTTTCGGGATAAATCCGAAAAACTCAGAACATTACCCGCCGGTAAAATTCTGGTCAATTGGGATTTATCCGATAAACACCGAATTTTTATGTGCCAATGCCGCTCCCCCCTTCCCGGAAAAAAAAAAAAAGAAAATAGTAAAAAAACTTTTTTTTTACAATTTCATTAGCGCAGGGTCAATGTTCCTGGGTAAATGCCACCATAATTATCTTTCAAATTTCGAACCGTTGTCAAATGGGGTCTTACTGCTTGCCTCGTCAAGGTTGATTCAGGGCAACAGGTCATTGTACATACGGGTCACGACAAAAGCCACTCTTTTGGTTTCTGGTTTGAGCCATGCGATTTGTGATTTAGAGAAAGGAGAGGATATGTTTTTGTAGCGGTGAAAGCTATGGACCATAAAGATTGTATAAAATAGGGAAGAGGGGCAGTTGAAACTTCTCTATTACATCCTTAACCACTCCACCTCGCGCGGCCGCGTTCTAGATTGATAAAATAAATGGGTATGACTACGAGCTTCCTAACCACTACCCCCTGGACTTTATTGATTCTAAGGTACCGACGTTTATCGAAGCAACACTTGTGTGCGACTTTTGTCGTGGGACAAATTAGTATTGCCAATGGCAATGGCACCTGCGCCAAACTCAACTGAAGAAATTTTAAATGATACAAGCGCGTTTTATTTTTTATCTGGCACACGTTTACATCTGGTTATTATTTATTTATTTGTTTTTAATAGGAAACACTGCAAAATTAAGCTCAGAATTTCCGAGAATTGGGAATCAAATAAATATAAACTCAGAATCTTCGGCAAAAAATAAACTCTGAAAACCATCCTTTGAATTTAATGAAAAATAAACTCCGAAAACAAGGAACCCCAATTATTGGGCATAAAACATTGTTGCATTTATTTCAGAGCACCAGCTCCACAGAAGAAGTCGAGTGCATCATCGCCTTGGCCTCCATATCAGAGCCAGCTACTTCTGAACACTCGGTACGTTTAACACATACTTCAATTAATGTGAGCAGCAGCGTAATCTGCTTAAAGGGGCCCTGCAATCATATGTAAGCGTCTAACTTTTTTGCGGTTTCCACGTCTCTTGGGGTTCGGGCAAGCCAGCGGGCACGGAGAGAGTTACTTAATATCACTGCGTCCTATTTTAACGGGACGACGCGGAAACCTCCTCCACATACGGGGGCGACCCGCGGTGCCGAAAGCGCGCGATATGTGAGGTCTTTGGTCCTGGCCTAACTACTGGTCAGAGCCACGAAAAGCTTCTTTTTAGTCGAAATACAAAATATAAGTGGCGCGAACTGTTTCAATTATTTTGTGAGAGTAGTTTTTGTTTAGTATTCTAGATCAGAAAAGAAACCAATGCAGTTTATAAAGTACAGAAACAAGAAATGACTCATCGACATACCCGCCACCAAGCGGTGGAAAAGGCGGCGCATACTAGGAAGGGGTAGTGGGATCGGGCATTGACGAGCGGCGAGTGTAGAAAGGTTTGGAATGTACGCGGTGGCGCTACGGTCGTAACCGGCTTGAGGATCCTACCGGTTCCGAGCATTCCGAAGGCCTTCGGCACAGGTTTGGCTTGCGATTTGGCTGTTTGGCGGTATGGCAGCGCGAAGTGGCTCCAGTTCTGAACCGATCTTTACCCCATATTTGCTGTCATTTGTGGCCAATGAAGTGCCGAATGAGTCTTTAATTGCGCAGCAGATGCAATGCAAGCCGCCCTGAACGCCCGCTTCATACAGCCTATCCAACACATGCTTTAGTGGCGCCCCCTCGAGCTGTTGACACGGAGTGCGGCAGCCGTGAGCGCTCGCTGAGCTCACTACCTCTCCTCTAGTTCACAATCACTCAAGCCACGACCAACGACGTCATGAAGGAGGTTATTTTTTTGCTTGTTTTTGTAATTTTAATTTGCCTATAACTTCTAAAATAAAGCGAAATTCGAGAAAAGAAAAGTTTCATTAAGTTACTACGTTCAGTCCGCTCAGGTTCGGTGCAAATTAAAAACCAGTCAAAAAGTTGTTGCAGGGCCCCTTAATGTAATAAACATATCAAGCATGCTAACTTATTTTAGTGGCCATAAAATGCTGTTGCATTCTTTTCAGAGCACTGACTCCTCGCAAGAGGTCGAGCAGATCATCTCTTTAGCCTCAACTTCAGGGCCAGCTGTTCCTGAACACTCGGTAGGTCTAATACATACTCTAAGTGACGTAAGCAGCAACAGGATCTACTTAATGTGAGAAACATATCTTGCGTGCTGGGGATAAAAAGTTGTTCCTTTCAGAGCACCGACTACATGCAAGAGGTCGAGCAAATTGTCGAAAGCGATTTGGCCTCAACATCATGGGAGTCTACTCCTGAGCACACAGTAGGTTTAATTCAAAACCGAATCGATGTGAGCAGAAGCCTGGTCTGCTTAACGCGATAAGCATGTTGTCTTAATTGATAGACTGATTTTGTTTACAGGCAACTGATCATGGCAGCCAAATTCGGTCAGATGTGTGCCGCCAGGGGGTCCAGCGGGAAGACACATGCCATCGCGACCACGCCTACTCGAAACCCAAAGCTCCAGCTGCGACTCCTGCTCTTCATAGTGGCTATAGCCTTGAGGATCGAGACATCTTTTTTTATACCGGTCTCCATGCAGACGTCTTCAAGGAGTTGGTGAAAGTTGTGCCACAGTTTGCTACAACTAATTTTATGATGCCTGTTGGGCAGCAGCTTTTGCTCACGCTAATGAAGTTGAGGCTCGGCCTTATATATGGCGATCTGTCGAGGAGGTTTGCGGTTTCGGTTTCAACTGTAGGGAACATTTTTTGCGCCATGCTTGCTACACTAGGGCAAGTCCTAAGGAATGTAGTGGTGTGGCTCTCTCGAGACACTATCTTCAGAAACATTCCGCGATCCTTTGAGGAGAATGGTTTTGCAGGCACTACTTGCATCTTGGATTGCACTGAGGTGTTCTTGCAGCGACCGAAAAAATTGCTCGCTCGGGCACAGACGTATAGCTCATACAAAGGCCACAACACTGTGAAGTTTTTGGTGGCTATTGCACCCCACGGATCGGCGATGTTCGTGTCCAAGGTCTACGGTGGACGAGCGTCTGACAAGCATATTGTAAGAGACTCTGGAATCATTTCACACTTTGAACGTGGCGATCATGTGATGGCCGACAGGGGTTTTTCTCTTGACCCCGAAATGGAAGCGAAGGGAGTAGCACTCAACACGCCAGCCTTCACTCGAGGGAAGGCTCAGTTATCCGAACAAGAGGTGACGGAGACTAGGAGGATTGCGTCTGTCCGAATTCACGTAGAGCGGGCAATAAATAGAATAAACTCCTACAGGATTTTGAAGCAAGCACTCCCCATACAGCATCGCAAGGTTGCAAGCGACATAGTTTTTGTATGAGCAGGGTTGTGCAACCTGAAGGGGCCTTTAATCAAAAAGTGATGTTCTCCCCAACACTTTGCCCATATGAAGGTGAAAAGGTGGTTGCTGACAACTGTATACTGGCAGCACCCCGGAGAAGTGGCCATGGCAGCTTACTGTCCTCATTCCACGCCTTGTCACGTGTCGTTCACAAGGCAAGCAAGCAGCTTTGGCCTTCACTCCATGGTACTGCCAGTATGGGGCCGTCGGCAATCACCTGTTCAACTTTATATACTGCAAATAACTTATTTTTTGCGGGCTCAGTATTTCGCTATTCAGGTCAAACCTTAAGTTTTGGAATAATTAGTGGGTTCCAATTTTCACGGCGCGGTGGGATTTCAATGTAGATTTTAATCTACATTGAGGGACGAATAAGGGAGCGGACGAGCGGCTTGCATGCTTTCGCATTCACAACTCATAAGGAATGCTTAAGTGTACCTCTATCTTTTGATCAATCAAACTTGTTACTGCCAAAACTTTCAAGCATCACACATTGTATAAAAAAATAAAGAATACTGCACTGCCTGTCTGCCTCGGTCCATTACATACGTGCAAGCTGCTTGTACTCATTTGAGAGCGTTATCTTTCCAGAGTTAACGTCCTCCACAAACGCCGGCAACAGGCTCTTGAAGTAGAAGTTCTTCACTTTTTTAGGTGGCACTTCATGAAGTCCTTGTTGTAGGGGACAACTACAACCTCGTCGTGGCCCTCTGACCACACATAGAGGTGGCAGACGGTCTTTCCAGTGCAGTGCGTTGCAAACTGAACTTGATAATAGAATTTGTTTCTTCCCTTTGGTTGCAGCTCGAAAATGCCATTGCCATTCTTTTTTATGTCGTATTTTCCGGAATTTAGAAGGTCTTCACAGTTCAATACATTTGGACACTTTATCTCTAAAAGAGCGTCAATTCCATCAATGATGCCATCGGGGCTGGCTGCGAGCCATGGGAGCTCCGGACAAACAACCAGGCCCGTTTGTCGCACGGTGCAATGGTGGTCAAGCATAAATTTCCTCCTAGCTTTGGGCTCACTGCGGCGGCCGTGCTCCGTCGCTTGATTCCCTCGAAAGGATGGGTGAAGTATGTCCTTCACAGCCTTGGAAGGGTCAGTTGATGCCAGTATTGGTATTCTTTTAACCATCGACGACGCTAACCGCATGCGGCGGCTCTCGTGCCAGAGTGTGCAGTTGCCTTGGTCCGCTGTTTTTTTGCAGAGCAGGTCCATACTAGGTGCACTGATGGCAACAAGCTCGTTGTATGCCTCCCAGTAGGCAGGACAGCTGTTTGGAAGGGTGGTCGCATCTTCGTGGCTGCTGTGAGCAAGAGGTATTGCGTCGCATTGAACTGCTGAAGGGTCTTGTGCTGCTGGAGGGTCTCGTGGAGGTGCCATCAGTGTCTCATGAAACAAGGTCCCTGGTATTTTCATGAGCCCTGCAAGGGGGCCGTCTTCAATGTGATGAAGGTACTCTTCATGTGTGTGAAACTGCAGCACATCTACGGTCCCAAGAATTTCTGTGTTTTGCTCATTCTTTCCAAACGAAATGTTGTCGAGGCTTGTTGGCGTTACGTTTTTCTTGGTACCTCGGTTCCAGGCGGCAGCTTCGTCGGTGCAAGCTGTGCCTGTCATTTTGTTCGCAAAGGCATGCTCCATCTTCCACAAGATGGCCCCAACATGGCTACACACCTTTGCCTGGCCAGCCATGCAGGAACAGCCTCCTGTAACTACCCGACCAGTGGTGTGCACGCATGCCCATGCCTTGTGTGGAGCAGCATTAAAGGACTGGGATCTACCCACTTCTGCTTTGAAGTAGCCCAGCTGGTCGCTTATTCTGTGGTGAAGGACAGTTCCCACGAGGCCGCTTGTCAGGTAGAGATACGACTCTAGGCTCTTGTACGCTCTGACCTCCTGAAGATCGCAGGCCTTTGAGTGGACCAAGTAGAAGACGATATCCGGCTTCTCTATGGGTGGCCACGGCTTCATATTGTCCTCCCACATTGACACCTCCTTAGGATGCACGTAGGACATCGATTCTGAAAGGAATAAAAAAGACGATCAATGCTTACGACTCGTGTATGTCCAAGTATCGGTCAACATTGAATTCTCGATATAGGACAAAGAAGCTATTTTTAGCAATATTTCACTTTGTAATGAAATTTTGTTCCTAAACAGAATTAGCATAGTTCATGTTTTTCCAGACACTGCTACTCAATAATGCGTTTGTGCCACTCGTGATCACATGGGGCAGAGTTAATTAAAGCTGCATTTTAACAGTTCGTGCTCATGATTGACATTATTGAAAACGGCTTGTATTGTAAGGCGAAGTCGTTGAAAGAATTCCTATATTGAGTCTTTCTTTCTTCGCCACTGGGCGGTTTAAAGGGCAGTGCGCGTGGCACATTTTTTGCTTACCCGCATTGTAATTTTACCGAACTAATGGCAGTAAGCTCTAGCGCAAGCGAGCACGGTCATGTCTACTTAGAAACCTGCCCGACTCCCTGACTGCTGTGATTCCTGCCAGCCGAGAGGACATTCGCAAACTACAGCATAATGTAGCGCATGCCATTTAAGGTTGTTTAACTTGTCGTCTTGTGTAAAATGATTGTTGTAGTCATCCTTCTTCACCCCCCCCCCCTTTATTTTTATTTGTTAGGGCTATGATAGGTCAGTTCGGTAGGCACACCAGATGCATGGGCCCAGTGATTTCCCTACACCCCCCCCCCCCTTGTTTTTCTAAAGCTCAATGCCGCCTCCCGCTTCGCCAAGCCTGCCCCTGCCCCTCCCTCTGCCCCCCCCCCCCCCCCAAAAAAAAAAGAAAAAAAAATTTCTAGACACCACATTTAATTTTAATTCCTGGGGGGACCCCTGCATGGGCCTCCGCCTTTCCACCGCACTAGTACACTGTAGTACTCAATTTTTTATTTTTTTTTCTTTCATGTGCAATGAAGTTGCAGTTCTTTGTGCGACCTCAAATCTGCCCGAGCACACTGCCCGAGCACATCTCGGGCGCGTGGAGTTTGAGCATACCGCTGCCGTGATCCGTCGTCACTCAACCGGAGCTCTCGCTACTACTCCGAAGCACGCTCTTAAAAGCGCGATGCTCGACCGTGTTCGCAGCCAGCAATAACGCTATGCTCCAACTCCCCGAGGTCCGAGTCGCGCTGAGGTCCGCGGCATGACGGCAGTTCAAAGCATGAACGGTTCGATCTCGCGGTCCTAACGTCTTGATAGGTTTTACTAATGTGAATGCTACAATTAATTATACTACATTTCTGTAAACAAAATGATTACATAAGCTTACCGTCAAGTACCAAGAAATCCAAAGAATCCCAGGCGTCGCTCGTCGAAACCATCGCCATGGCTCGCAAAGGAAAACGAGCTTGAAAAAATATATATATGGCTTGTTCACGGTCGCAAAGGCGCACGAACGGATTAAAAAGGCTTCGGGATAACTACCCACCAAATAAAACCGAAAACATGTTACTAAAAGTCAACAATACACATAAAAGCGGAAATCGCTCACAGCATTCACATTGGGTTTGCTGGACGATTGGCAAAGTTACCCACACCAGCCCCTCGGAGACACGCCGCACGCTAGGCGGCGCCACGATCATTCAAGATGGAAGCGCCCCGTAGCCCATCTTGCAAATGTGTATAGTAGCTGATAACACCTGTTTCTGCCAGCAAAGGCTCGTTGTTAAGACGGTTCATCCTCCCACGCCGCTTTCACTTGAGCCCTCAACGGCGGTGCTCGATGCATGGCTCCCTCCCGCAACGCCAACCAGTGATTTGCCTACAACCCCCCCCCTTGTTTTTTTTTTTTTCGAAGGCACCCCCTTAACCACAGCGACTCCTTTATTCTCAATGACCCCCCTACCCCTCCCCCCCCCCCCCCCCCCCCCTAATTTCAACTCCTGGGGGAACCCCTGACGCCACCGGTGGAGCGCTAAGACCTTCCTAGTCGAGGAGGTGCTGGAGTAGCTCAAAACCGCGGATTCTGGCGCCGCGCTATCAGCCCACGTATGATACCATGGCCATAATGACACTAAGTCATAAAGCGTGGAACCCCTCTCGCGCGTTGAGTTAAGCAAACGATCGCCAAAATCTCCCCCCCCCCCCCCCCCAGCCCGCCACAGTTGGTTTAAAAGATTGCCTCTCTCTGGTGTAGTATTTCAAAAATGCTAATATTTACAGGTCCTCTGGGATGTCGTGACATCACATGATGTCTCAGTGAGACGCAAAAGAACGATGACCCGAAAGCTTCCTTTCTTAAGACTCGTCACTATTCTAGACCTAGAGTCAGACAGCAGCTGTTCTGAACGTCGTGACGCCATCATCATTACGTCACCATCGAGGTCACGTTTCAGACGAAAACACGATAACCCTAAGACCCTAAGACCTTGTCCGATGAATGCTAGGCATTTGAAAAGCTGAATTTATGTTGTATATAGCATTGCCAACCGAGGGTCGTTTGTTCTGCCTCCTCCAGATGGAGCCCCAAGTTCTCTTCGCTGGCATGCTTATATCCGGC